AGAAAAATGATGGTTTCTAGGTAGATTTTAGCGTACAGGGTGATGGATTGAAGGTGAAGTATTTTTACAGGGGGAGAAAATGGGAGTCTAGTGTGTGAGAGGAAGGCTGGTATCGTAAAAGGATTTCTTAGGCTGTTCTGTGTCCCTCTTTCTGAAGAGCAAGGGAGGGATAATATATACAGCTAGGGGTATTTTTGTAATCCTACTCAGTAGGTCAGAGATGTGCAGATGGGTTCAGATGAACTGTCAAGCTTAGAGTGGTTCCGGGCACTGTTAACAGCTACTTTGGCATTGGCATCATGAGTTGCCCGTCGATTCTAGCTAAGCTTCGTTGGTCCCAACGATGGACTGGAAACTGTCCATTATTGGAAATTCTCCTAGCCATACGAAACTCTGTTTTTGGCGGGGTGCTTGAGTGCATCCGGCAAAAACACCACCTGCATAGTGATTTGGTAAGTTCCCCAGGCTTTGTATGGGATTTTGGGAGATTTTGCAAGCAAACAGCGATCTTCCATAGCAGTTTCCAAGGCTGTAAAACTTGTGCAGTCACCCTTGCATTAAATATGGCTGTAAGTTGCTGATGGTGACTCAAGTGGCATTTCCAGCTAGTCTTCAACAGGATTTCCAACCTCTAGTTAGCATCAAAGAGTATTGTTCCAAGAATTAAGTTTACTTCCACACCTTCGCCACCCAGCCTTTTCTGGTGAAGTCAGACAACATCACCAATGCGAATGCCTTGCTTCGCTAGACAGGCAATGTTCACCCATCCATGCCTACCAAGCCACTACTCCCATAGTTTATTTCGAGTAATTCCTGTGAGCTTGGATTCATGATCTTGCATTTATCTGCGATAATAACAAAGTACATATGAGCATATATTTGAGTATCTTAAATACAAGCAATATGTGAATATACGGCAGTGAAGAAGGGAACTCCTTTATATGTTGAAAAGGACCATGTGGGCAAATGTTCGCTGCTCCCACTTATTCGCCAACCGTTGCAAGTGCTAATATATTGTTGCTATATATGGTTGGTATTGCGCCAGAATAGAGAATGGACAACATGGGTATGCGTTGTGATATCATTATCTCGAGCCAAGCTTCGTTGGTTGATGATACCTGCTAATACGTAAAATATAAAAGAGATATATTGTAAATTGGGATTACCGTCGACCGGTAACTTTGTCCCTTTGTATAGAAAGATGATGATATTCATGACCACTGGCCATGTTGCATAAGTATTATGGGTTCAGCCATGAACAGCCTTCCCATAACCAGAAGGACAACAGTGGCTAGTTTTGTCTATGGTTGGAGCGTGAACC